GGTGCCTAAGAGAACAATATCTGTCCCCCAGGAATGACTCTCTAATGGAAGCATTTCAGGTACTACGGCCCCTGTTAGGGAAGATGAGTTTTGATGGAGAGGGCGTGGCTCCCAGCGCTGCCTCTGAAGTCCCTCTGCCCGAGACCTTCCTGCTCTTACTCTCCTCCAGCCCTGGAGTAACAGACTCCTCCCCTCAGTCCTCGGGACGCCAGGCGTCGCCGACCAAGGAAGCACGTGCGGGAAAACCGCCTGCTGGTGGTACTGTGGGGTGCGGTCAGATCCGGATTTCGGGGGTGGGGGCGGTGCTCACCCCGCCCCTCCCCTCCGGGTCTCCGTGCACTCGTCTGTCCGGCATGCACCTGTACTCTTGCTCCTCTGGCCGCGGAGGGGCGTGAGCTGGGCGCCCGGGTCTGCCCCTGGGATCCAGCCCTGCCCCGCGCCTCCTCTCTGCTCCCGGAGGCTGGGCTGCCCTCTGGCTTCCAGTTGGGTTTGGCTGTCGGGGGAACAGGCAGGAGATGAAGGTGAGAGGAGTCGAAGGGTGGGTGTTTGCACCCTGTCACCTCGCCACAGGTTGGCTGCGAGCCCCAGGCTGCATCACTGCTCTGCAAGGCCACCCTCTCCAGGTTCAGGGCACAGCTTCCTTCTCTGCGCCGTCAAGTTATTTCCACTCCTGTTGGCGGCGCCAGGTCCCTGTACCACCGCCCTCTGCTGGTCTTTCTACACCCTGTGCTCAGCTTTGTAAACTTGTCCCTTTCTGAAGCTCTCCCCAGTTACCCATTTGGGTATCCTGGGACCCTGGCAGGCAGGAGGGTCACCAGCTCGGAAGGCAGAGCACGGCTGAAGGCGTGAAGTGTCCTGCACCCCCACGTCCCTCCTGCCCCCCCTAGCTGAGGCCCCCTGAGGGCGAAGCTCAGTCCCTGGGCTGGAACGCAGGCGTCTGGAAGACCAGTTTGGTCATCTTCCCGTGGTGAGGCCAGGGGCTTCGCCATTGCCTTGCAGGTGGCCCTTCTGTACCATGCTCGGCAGGGAAACCTGTTTGTGTCGGGAAGCCCACATTGCGGGCCCACAAATTTGTGCCCAGATGGTGCTTGTGTTTACGAGAGCCCAGCGCACTGACAGGACCCGCAGCCACATGGATAAACATTTTGCCTTTCTTCTCAGGCAATATTTGAGTCTTTCAAATTTAATTGCTGTCAAGGCAGGATGCTCGAATCCCGAGGCAAAGCAACTAGTGAGGCCTCCAACCGGGCTGCGTGTGGCAGGGGCGCCGGCGAGCCTCCCTGGCCGGCCCCCGAGGGGCCTGTCGGCTCCGACTTGCTCCTGCGGCATGTGCTGGGGGCTCTGGGGCTCAGGGAGCCCGCCCGGAACCTGTGGCCATGTGTTGAGTTTGTTTGGACACAGACAGGACATGAAGTTAGGAAAAAAAATAATAATGGAGTCAGGTATCTTGCTCAGGCGTTAGTGGTGGGCACGCACGTGCTGTGACTTGTGGGATTTTGTTTGGGTCTCCGAAGCTAGGTGCAGGGGGAGTGTTTGGTGTGATCTTGAAATTACTGAGCCTAGGGCAGCCGCTCGTTTGCATGAAACCTTCGTGCAAGTTAGACTGAGTCCGTCTGTCTGGCAGGGCGTGTCCCCGGACCTCGGCAGGGTCGCAGCATGGCGGCTGGATTGCAGCGCCCAGGTATCTGCGGAGGCGTCCCTGTGCAGGGCCCGGTACCTGGCCAAGGGAGTTAGTTGCCGCTGGTGTTTTTGTTAATATCCTCTATCCTTTATCTTTCTCATTTTTTCTCTTCCTTTTTGCTTTTTAAACATCACTGTTTGCCCCTTGGCTTACACTTACAAGGTGCGGGGGGAGGCTGCTCTGTGCACCTGCCGCTCCCTCTCCCGCACCGTGGCTGACAAGCCTCTCCTCGCGTTCCCCACCCAGGGAAGGAGCACTTGCTGGGGACTCCCAGAGTTCTGCACCCGCCACCTGCCTTTACCCACTGCACCAGAAATTGCCTCAATGATTTCAGTCCCCTGCATGTGATAGAAGCAGTTGGATCCTTTGCCCACTGCGGTCTTCTGGAGGGTGCCTCATATTCGTCATTTTTTTTCCAAAGTGCGTGTTACTGGTGCTCACTCCGTGCTGGGAACTGGGGAGATAAAGATGAATGGATGAGGCTAGTCCCTGCCCTTGAGAAACTCATAATCTAGTGGGGGAGCGAGGCATGTAAACAGATAAATCACCGTGCATCGGTGTGCTTGCTGCAGCAGGACGGTGGGGGGGTGGTCGGGGAGGGGCTCGGGTGACACCTACTGCCGGGTGCCGTGGATGCAAGGAAGGCCCTGCTGCGTGGCTGCCCCATGGGCCTCCTCTTAGGACGGGAGTGTCAGACTCATCTTCACTGGGGACCGCATCAGCCTCGCTGTTGCCTTCAAAGGGCCAAATGCAATTTTAGGACTGTATAAATGCAACTACTTCTTAACGAGGGGCAAGGAGCTCGGCCCTGCCACCAGGTAGAAACAAGGTGCCGGGCCGAATAAAACAAGGTGGAGGCCTGGGTTCCGCCCACGGGCCTTGTGTTTGCTACCTGTGCCTTAGGATGAGGAGACGGAGATCATGCAAGGAAAGGCAGGGAGGAGAGTACGTGCTGAGTCCTGGGCAGGCAGGGCACAGTCGGGGCAAGGTGGGGCAGGCCACCTGGCTGGAGCCCGAGGTGTGTGATGCTGGGCTGAAGGGGAGCTGGGGTGGGGACTGGGACTTACTGAGGAGTGTGGGGTGCCCCGGGTGTGAAGAAGACCATGTCTTCCCTTCTGGAATGCTCTCCAGGCAGCAGCATGGCAGGAGGCCGTGTGGAGGGAGACTCCGGTCAGACGGTTCTGGGTTCTCATCCCGGAGCTGCTGCTTCCTTGGGCAAGTCAGTGAATCTTCTCGAACCTCCATTTTCTTATTTGTAAGATTGGGGTGCTGATCCTAATAATGCTAACTTAGCTGGGTTGTATGCAGGATTGGGTAAGATAATATTTGTAACAGAGTTTCTGCTGGTGGGGTGAGTATAGGACCTGAATGGGTTTTAGGTGGATGGACGTTGGTTCCTTCAGGGCCCAGGGAGGCTGGGCAGGGTGCGGTGGCCGCGTCTGTTCATCCCAGGGCCTCACACACTTCCCCTCTGCGTGGCTGGGACTCAGGGGGAGGTGGAGACCACCAGTCCACGCGGCACTTGGTAAGGCTCTCCTACCTAGTAAGTCCTCAGTGAGCACGGCTGTTCGTTGATGTCCGTCCTGGTATTCAAAGTGCAGAGAGGGGTGGGGACAGAGGAGAGCTGGGTCCGGGGACGTTTCTGAGGGAGAACAGACAGAATTGGGTGACGGGTTGGTGTCAGGGAGGAGGAGCGCCCCTCAAGAGAGGGCAGCCTCAGGATGCCTGTGGGATTTCGGGTGTTGCAGACTGGACGGGGGGGGGGTCGTGCTAGTTATGGCGGTGGAGCGTGCGGGCTTGAAGCGTGAGCGTGAATTGAAGAAGCGGAGACCCGTCTGGTAGACTGCTTTCCCCCAGAAGTACACCACGTTGGGGGAGGAGGAAGACAGGCTAGGATGTGATCAGGGGGACTGCTGGGGTGTGAGAGAGACTTCAGAACGCTTGCAGGCTAAGGGGACAGAGGCAGAGGGGTCAAAAACCTGAAGACGAAAGGGAAAGGGCGTAACGCCTTCCCCCCAACTGTGCTTCTGTGGACAGCATCGGCCCGTCGGAGGGGTGTCTGCCGATAACTGGCAGTCGGGCTGTTGTCCAGGTGTGATTTACAATAAGGCGTCAGTTCCAGGTCTAGGCTATTGCCCTCCACCAATCGCCGGGCTCCCTGCTGACAGTGAGCCAGGGGTCAAACAATTCAATCAGGTGCCACCACTTATAAATTGAAAATCAGTGGGGTGCAAAATGGATTACCATCAAAATCCATTCAGGTGCAAAACCAAATTCTAAACCCCCTAACCTTTAAAAATCACTCTTTTCCTGGTTCTTCCTGATGCCCTGACATTGAATTGTAATATCTCTCACATAAGCAAGCATCGACAGAAATGCCTGCGGGGACTCAAAGTGTCGTGGGAAGAACTGATCGTGCCCTCCTGTTGGAATTTGCAAACATGGTGGATTTATGAATTAATACTTCGGCAATTCCACTAGCTCCTCGAAGGCAGAGGTTCTCCCACTGAAGTGTGCAGCAGAATCACCGGGAGGGCTTATTAAACTTGAGATTGCGGTCTTGACCTCCGTGTTTCTGATTCAGTAGGTCTGGGGTCGGGCCCAGGAAATTGCGTTTCTGGTCAGTTCCCAGAGGCTGCTGATGCTGGGGTCCCAGAACCACACTCCAAGAACATCTGCTGTAAGAGCTAGGAGTGTTTGGAGAAGCTGGCCCTTGAAGCAGGCATGGGCTGACAAGGACTTATCCGTGAAGGCCCCCCTACTGGACCAGGTGTCAAGTGTGTTCAGGGCTTTACTGTTGTCCGGGAAACCTGGGAAGAGACTGATTCGAGGAGACACAGCTTGGTCTGAGTGCTTTGCGTTCAGAGGTGAGGTGGGGTGGCGGGTGGAGAAAGGGGAAGACCGTGTGTGTTACAAGCACAGATGACCTCATGAAGGTTGAAGCCTGCTCTCTGTTGGTGTGGGGGGGTGCAAACTGTTAATGCCTTTTGATGCCTTGACTTGAAAGTTAGTTTTCTTAAGATTAAAAGGGCATGAGTGCTGCCTTCTTCGCACGCTATCAGCCCAAACTGTGGCTCTCCCCACCTCTGAACGATGCCAGAGCTGTGTTTTTCTGCCTAAATGGATAGTGTTTGATTTCAGTTGGACTCTCCTGCTCTTTTGGAGTCAACGTTACTGCCTTGGATAAACTGTAGGCATCACCAGGCTCCATAGAAATCCAGTCCCTTTCCCCAGAACAGAAGAGTGGATCCCCGAAACTGGGCCCCCCCCCAGTGACCGCTGCCTCCTTAACGCGTGGTTTCCTGTCTGTCTTTGCCAGGAGAAATTGAGCGGTGCACGTACATCAAATACCACTACTCCTCAGCCACCATCCCGAGGAACCTCACTTTCAACATCACGAAGACCATCCGGCAGGATGAGTGGCACGCCCTGCGTAAGTACAGCCGCGTTTCTTGCTTTGACTGTGACCTTCGGAGGGCTCGGGGATTCGGATGCCCAGCGACAGCTTGGTCTGGGCAGATGGGTGCGCCTCCTTCCAAGGCCTGTGGGCAGTCCCGGAACACGGTGGCAGTTCCTTGCCGTGTCGATGTCTGCGGGTCCGACTTGCCTCAGTTGGTTTTGACTGCATGATAGATTTGAGGAGTTTGCTTCTAAAATCCAAACAAACAAACAAACAAACAAACAACCAAAAGAAAAACAGCTGGCAGGTAGACAGTGATCCGTGGTCTTCTTTCATTACCCTGGAAGGCCTATAAGATTTCACCCACCCGACCAGACCGACTCCCGCGATTTGGTTCTAGCACGTCTCCTAGTTGCGTGGAGTATTACTGTGGCCGCCCGTGAATCCCTTGTGTCGTCCTGCGTCCCGGCTGAGATCACCGTTGGTTACAGGCTGCATGGCACTGGGGATTTGCATTTGAGTGGGGTCACCCAGGGGTCGGGTCTGGTCCTCTGCTTACAAGCTCCTGTTTCTCCAGAATGGTGGGCTTTGGGGCCCTGGTCCTCATGCACTTGCTCAGCGAAGATCACCATGTCTGCTCCTGTTGCTGGGGAGTCGCTTGGGCAGGGATTCGCAGAGACTGAAATTGTGATGGAAGGCTGACTTAACGAGCAAATGGCTATTTTTACCCGTCTGCGCCCTGGGGGGTCCCTGCTGTGTGTGTGCCCGGGACACTCTCCTTCGCTGCCGACGCCGTCCCTCAGGGGAGCGCAGCCTCACTCTTAGCAGGCTCCCTGCCGCCCCTGTCCCATTTGTCATTTCTTTCCTATTCGGGCTTCCTTCACACGTCTCAAGGTCAACGTTCCATGTACACGGGCATGTGAAGGAGGGCCTTTTATCGCTTCTTGATAAAAAGGTTGATCAACTTTGAAGAAGGCCAAAACCATCTTTCTCCCTATTGTCGCCTGGTCATCTTTCACATGCCTGGGGTCTCCCAGCTGTACATTTCCCCTCCTGGTTTGGCTTTAATCAGACAGCCGTGGTTTGGGGGAGGGGCCGAGAGAGCCAGGTAGAACGAAATGAAACAGGCCAGTCAGTCACTGGTTTCGGGAAGGAGACTGTGGCCAGGTGTCTGGATGATCGTTCCTGCATGCCACTGGCCTGAAATGACGGGACAGGTGTCAGCAGGTGGAAAGTCATTATCCAGCTGTTGCCCTTAAAGCTGTATCCTTCCTAGAGGCACTACCCAGAACGTGGGGACAGAGACCTCACGCTCAAGACCATTCCTACGTCTCAGCCACTCAGTGAGGCGCACCACACGCTTACTCAATTCTGATGTGGCATTTGCCTCAGACAGACAGTCTCCTCATCGGGGTTACCAGCTTCCGTTTTGGGAGGAAGACCTGCAAGGAGCCGACTTCATGGGTACCCGACCGCGACTGCTTACTTCTCACGTGGCATCGATTTAATGTGGTCAGTTACAGGGGCCTTAAAGGAATGTTCTAGATGCATGAGAGGCCTTGTTGAATAACCACTTAAATGTAATTTATTTAAGTTCCGGGGGTCATAATGGGATCCAGGAAAGAAGACGTTATTGACACTGCAGCTTCCATTCGGATTCGCTCAGTTCAACCCAAGTTGCTGAGTGGCTTTATGCACCGGGGCTGAGGGGAGGTCTTTGCAGGAGCGCCCATCGGGTGGTGTAGGAGGGTGGTGGGGGAAATGAGAGTCACATTCACACAGCAAATAGTTACAAGGCAACGCGATAGTTACGATAATGAAGATATAGTAAAACTGCTTCGAGCAGTGAAGACGGTTTGTGAAAGTTTTTCGGCAAGGAGAGTTGTTTTAGTGACAGTTGCACTGATGCCCTGCATGGGACACCTAGTGGAACGCTTGGCCTCCACACAGTAGTTATCTGGAATTCAAATAGGTCACTGGCCGTAGCATCACTGAAAATCCGTCCCATGGCGCTGCAAAGACGAAAGGAGAGAGGAGGCTGAGGTTAAGGTCTGTGGGATGTTCTCGAGCCCCGTGTCTCCAGGGTCCTCCTCCCCGAACTGTGGTGCGGTTGGGTTGTGCAAAAACCAGTGTTACGTGCAGATCTCTCTTTAACCGATCGAAGCCATCTCAGCCACCGATGTTTGCGAAGGTTTTGGGCACCCTGCGCTGGTGAAGTGGAGGCTGCCCTTTGGTGTGAGGTTTGCCTGCCTCTTTCCCCGCGGGGGCCTGGTGGGCTCTTACGCAGGCAGAGGACGCTTGCCATCCCTGACATCACCGGCAGCTATTTTTAGCCAGAGGGCAGGGGAGCATCTGCCTCACCTGAAGCTGGTGCTCTGTGTCTTTGGCCACGCTGGCCTAACAGGACAGCACGGCACATGTCCAGCTAATTTTCAAAGGTCAGCTACTGATGGTATTAGGTGGGAGATGGACACGTAGACCCCCTTGGAAATAAAGCAGAAACTCTCAAAGATTAGCAAACACCTGGGATCCAGCTTTGGAAATTAAAAAAAAAAAAATCAGACTCTGATTTCTGTACTTGAGAGTCCTTTATTCTTTGATATTGCCAATGGGATCAAAGAAATTCATTTGATACAAGATTGGTTATTGCTTTTATAATAAAATTATAAAATTGGTTATTACAATTTTATAATAAAATTATAAAATTGGTTATTACAATTTTATAATAAAATTATAAAATTATTTTATAATTTGCCCATAACATCTTACATTCTACAGTTTTTTTCTGCACATAATTTTTGCCAAAGGAAAGAAATTTGACTCTTTTTTTTTTTCCCCCTGAAACAACTTCTGGCAAATATTTTGAACTCCAGTTAAACTTGGGTTACACATTTTTCATCAGGAGTTTGCATGTGGTCATCAGTCATTGATGTGGGAAAAAATTCCAATAGGAAAAGCACAATTCGGTTTAAAAATTATGCTGTGGTTTTGAGCGGTCAGCCCCACCAATGGGCAGCTTAACTATTTGGCTGTGAGCGCATCACCTATGGTCACATGACCAGTAAGTGACAGGCTTATATCTCCAAGTGTAAAGAGATCATAACCACTCTGGGAAGTAAAGGCCAGATAATCAGACCCGGGTGTGCATGCATGTGTGTGTGTGTCGGGGGGCGGTCTCTGGGTATGAGGTCCGAACGCTCAGTTGTTCGGGTGACGTGCACGAGGCTCTGACTTTGGCTCAGATGGTGATTGCTGGTGACATCGTGTTTCCCTGTTTGTGCTTCCACGCTGGCTGGAGCTCCCTGGGAGAAGGCAGAGCTCCTTCTGGAGTTGAGACCGGAGCCGTCTGTCCACTCAGGTCTGGCCACCTGCCCAGGGCAGCCCTCTGGCCTTCCTACCTGCCTGCTGCCTCCCATCAGGCTGCAGTGACCGGAGCGGCATTTGTCCAGCCTGGCGGGCTCAGAGTGTGCTGCACTCCTGACCCAGACCTTCCTACACCTCCAGAGCTGGAGCAGGACAAGTGTCACCAGGGCAGAGGACAGGACAGTGGCTGCAGGAGATGAGCTCGGCTAGTGCCCCTCCCTGGGCGGGTTTTGTGGTTTAATGTTTTGCCAGGGACAGAATCAGATTGGCAGGGGCCGGGGGAAGCAGGTGGGCATGACCATGGTGCTTTAAGTGGTGCCGTCTCCTCCCACAGGCTTTTCTAGTTGAGCTTGTGGGGCTTGTTGGGAGAATTGTGTCCTGTGTCACTCAAGAGCCATTCAAAGGCTTGACCTTTGCTGTCCCTGCCACTGGTGTCCCTCTGATGTGTCCTTACAGCACAGCCAGGGGCCAGGACATGGGTCAGTGGCAGGGCCAGGGGAGTTGGGTGGGAGGGGACCCCGGTGTCCATGGTGGGGACCTTGAGGCCAGGAGTTGGGGAAGGCAGGTCTGGGTGCCGACCCTGAGAGGTGAGGGCTTCTGCAAGGAGGAGCCTGCGGGCAGTGGGGCCGGGCCTGGGGCTGCGACGGGACTCCTCAAGGAGGCCGGGAGAGGAGCGAAGCCCTCTCTCACCACCAGCTCTCCTGATATGCTTGGCAGGGTCTCTGGGCAGCTGCCACCGAGGCTCCCTCCGGGCTGGAGCCCCGAGACGCTGTGCTCAGGACCTCGGGCTTTTTCCTGCTGCTCTGCGTTTTCAAGATGGAGGTTTCTGCTCGCAGTCGATTGCCCCTGGCAGCGGAGCGGGGAGCTGGGACTCCACTTCCCTGCAATAGGATCTTCTCCGTTCTCTTTCAAGAGGCTGAGAGCCATGGAAGCTGGAGAGTTTTTTAAAGCCTCCTTCTGTCAAGACTGAGCTTTCAGCTAATTAGATTGGATGGTCACATGGCGCATTTCCAGCTGGCCAGGGAGGAAGCGAGGAGGAGAGATGGCCTCCTCCCCCCTCTCCCTGCTCCCCACCGCAGGCACCTGAGGGCATTCACCCCACCCCACCCAGGCAAACGCAGACGCACTCACGCAGTGGCCCTGGAGAGCGGAATTAGAAGAAGCAAGGCAAAGAGTTAAGCAGGGAGGGAGGAGGTAAGAGAACGGGCCTTGGGGAGAGAAGAAAGGTAGACAGACAGACAGACAGACAGAGTTGGAGACTGAGGATTTGGGGAGGAGCAAGGACATTTCGTGCACGTGTAGCTAAAAGCAAGACGTCAAGGCCAGGCTGTCTTGTCTAATGCAGACACTCGTACGACACACTTGGCTCTCTGAATCTCTTGACCACTCACAGCGGGGCCTGTAGGTCAGCTCAGCCTTGGGGGCCAGCCCCCACCCAGCTGTATGGCAAGGAGCGGCGCCTGTCCTGCTGCTCCGGTGTGGCTGTCAGTGTAGGACTCCTAACTTTGTTCTGCCTGATCAAGCCCTACCTGGTCCTTCCTCACCTGGCCTCCCTCCCCACAGCCGCTTCTGCACCCTCCCCTCCAGAGTCAGCACATCCTGCCCACCCACCCTAGTCTCCTGGTCTGTCTAGCACTCCCTCCAGCTACCCCCAGGACCTGCCCACCTCT